ATAATGCTTAAAAAAAAAAAAAAAGCTAAGCTGTGCGACCATCTCGTCTGTGGGGTGGGGGCGGTGAGCATGGCGGAGCAGGGGCCGGGGAGCTGATCCCTAGAAGGATCTCAGCAATAGGGCTCCTGGCCAGGCAGACAGGAGAGACGACAGAGGGAGGAGGGCTGCCCTGGACTCCTGTCATTGCTTGCTTTTTCATTTTGGAAACGTGTTTGTGTTATCTGTTTTACATCTTAAGAAAATAGGTCAGGCGGTGGGTGGGGTGGGAAGGGGGAGGGAGGCCAGCAGAGGGAGCAGCTTCAGGCACAGGGAGGAGGTGGAGGAGGTGGGAGGGGCCCTGCCGGCCTGGCTCCCGTCCCAGTCCCAGCTGGCCCCATTGTGACCTCCCCGGCTGCACCCGGGCCTTTGTGACAGTCACCTGGGGCAGACCTGGGAGCTAGAGGACATCCAGACTGCCTTTAGTTAAGAGGGTGGCAGGTCGGGCCAGGCCGCAGCCTGGACCTGGGGTCAGGAAGGGGTTTAGGGAGGGATGGAGGGGCCGAAATCCCTGGGCCCCTGCAACCACACCCACCCCAAGTGTGTCCCAGCCCTAGCCTTGAGCAGCCACGAAGGAAACCCCAGCCCTAGCCTTGAGCAGCCACGAAGGATACCTGGAGCAGCCCTGCCAGGGATTTGTAAGGTGGCCCTGCCTGGTCCCTCTCACCTCTGCCCACTCTATGGAACCTTCCAGGCCTTTCCCAGCCCCGGGGAAAGGGGGCGGGGGGCCCAGGGTGGAGGAGCAGTCATCCGGAACCTTTCTCTCAAGCCAAGAGGGAGAGATACAGCGGCAGAGGACGAGAGACCCCACAGGGCCACAAGGAGAGATGGAGGCAGGGCTGGGGTGGGGCTGTCCCCTGCACCCTGCGCCAGAGCAAGGGGCGCCCAGGTCGGGGACAGCACCCCCCAGCTCAGGACCCAGACCCTGTCCTTGCCCACCCCTGCCATCTGGGGGAGGGGTCCCGGCCTCCCCCAGGGCAGGCCCCTCCCAGCTCCAGTGCAGGCCACTGGGGGCCACAGAACAGCCCTTCCTCCAGCTGGAACAGGAGAACCACAGCCTGGTGAGTGCCCGGGTCCTTGGCCAGGGACCACGCCCCCTCCCTGCCCGAGCCACCCACAGCTGGGACAGGTCACCCATCTCTCCACCCCTCGCCCCAGAAAAGGCAGAACCAGGACCTGCGGGAGCAGCTGGGGGCCCTCCTGGGGCCGGGGCAGCAGTTCCTGCCCCTGTGTCGAGAGCACTCCAGCTGCACGGCCCTGGCCTGGGTGAGTTAAGGGCAGCGCGGGGAGGGACTGCCCACCACGGGCTGCCCAGCTGCAGCTGACCCGGGCCTCTCCCACAGCCCCGCGCACCAGCCAGACACCCACCCCCGGACGACAGGGCGTCCCTGCAGCTGTGCCGGGGGGAAGAGACCTTCGTGCAGCAGTCCCAGGTGGGCCCGGCGGGCAGGGGCGGGGGCGGGCTGGCCGCTGACCCTGGCGCTCACACCGCGTCCCTCCCCAGCACGAGCTCCAGCAGATCCGCCTGTCCTTTGAGAGGAAGAAGATGGCCATCACTGAGGTGGCCGCCTGGCCCAGGGAGGGGTGTCCGGGCCCCCCCGTGGGTCCTGCTGCTCAGGCCTGACCAGCCTCCCTGCCCCCAGGTGTGGGACGGCGTGGCCGAGGTGCACATGGCCCTGAACAACCAGGCCACCGGGCTCCTGGTAGGTCCCCAGAGGGCAGCACCGAGGGCCGCAGCAGGGACGGGAGGGTGCGGGGTGTGGGGTGGGCAGCAGGGCGGGAGGACCCCCCTCACTCCTCTCATCACCCTTAGAACCTCAAGAAGGACATCCGGGGCGTGCTGGACCAGATGGAGGACATTCAGCTGGAGGTTCTGAGGTGACGTGCCCGCCTGGGGCCTGGCTGGGCCAGGGCGGGAGGTGTCCTGGTCGGGATGGGGTGGACTAGTCCCCAAACCCCACTCTCAAGCTCTACAGAACCAAGGCCGGGGGTGGGGCCAGGCTGGGGGTGGAGGGGCAGCCGGTGCTGACCACAAG